GTCCTTATCTAAAATTAAAATATGCATCAAACTATTTGTTTTCATCCCCTCTCTTTTTCAGTTCGACTCTCTCTCTCTCTCTTTTTATTATCTATTACGAGTGCAGTACGTTTCTAAATAACTAAAAACATAAAACATTAACCTACTAATTCTCTCTCTTTTTTCCTAATAGACAATGTTATGGGAGAATCCTTATATCATATCTAAATTTTGTGGGTAACGACAATAAATTAAGTCTTCTCATTTATAATTTAATTTTTTTTTTAATTTCAAGATAGTAATATTTTTTTCTTATAGAAGTGTTTGGTTGATTTGTAATTGTAACAATTTTTTTTTTGAAATAGAAGAGTGATCAAATAAACATTAAGTAGGAAAATTCTGATTACAATCAGTAGAAAAAAAAAGTCTTAAGCTTGGGGAGGGGGAGGGGGAGGAGGAGGGGGACAGCACACTCAACTCAAAAAATTGAGTTAGAAAGCGTCATGGCTGCCATCCAGTGAGCTGCTCTGTTTAGAACCCTAGGCTTGTGTACAAATCTTAAATTAAGATCATTAGCAAAGCACCTAATATCTCTAACAAAAGAACTGATTTCTCATGGGGGCACATCTTCAGTTGAACCCAGCTTGATCACCTCCAGATTGTTGCCTGCAATAGTCACATGTCGTAACCCAGATGCACAGGCTAACAAACACGTTTCATGGACAGCAACAGCTTCCGAAAGCCGACTGGACATAGCCGGAATATGTTTGGCAATACCAGCCTCCAATTAGAAAACAAACATTTGTATAGAAAAAATTTTGATGAAGAGAAAATTTTAAAATCTATTTGAATTTTAAATAAAATATTCTTAAATATATTTATTATTAGTTACAAACACAACATAAGAAAAAAATTTAAGTTAAATTTAGGCAAATAAGCAAGAATAGATCTTATAAAATTAGAAAGATTAGGTGGATTAGTCATGTAATCAATTGAAAATAAAAGTGTATAAAACTTGAATGTAAAAATTAATTAATAATCACCATCTCAAAAAACGAGAATTTCTTAAAATTAATATTAAAAAAAACTTCATTTAAAATCGTTGTTATAAACCTCAAAGTGTATCAAGCCACTCCTAATGGGCTACTTAAAGGATTTCGAGAAATGCTCAGAGAGACTGATAACTGAATATAATTGGATTTGATTGCTAAAAATATAGCTATAATGATATACATGTATTTATAATTCTTATAAATTGTACTATTGAATAATTGCATGTAGATAACATGAATATAAAATAGCACATATATAATGTTTAATATATTTTAAATGTCTAAATTATCAAAAAAGAAAAATTATGCGACATCACATTTATAACATTGAACATATTTACTATGACACCACCTTGTAACAGTCCATGGAGGATTTTTGACAAATTGAAACAAAATGCATAAGACTCGACAGTGAGAGATGTGCAGAGATTATGATCGTTGTGAAATGCGTAGGCACTTCGATCTTTTGAATGAAAAGAGTCATAGCATGGCCAACTCTAGAGTCCAACCATTAAAATAGTCACCTAAAACCCAAAAAATTTAGGGCCTCAATTTAATTGTCAACCTTTAATTCAACTTCATATTTAGAGGTCCTTTTGAACTGGCCAAGTTAAAAATAGCAACCTATGTAAAACCCTATAGAAAGCCTTAAAATTTAATAATATTTTTGCAACTTCATATAAATCTTTATAAAAAATTCTAAAATATAACAAAACCTTCTAAGTACAGCCTAAAACTAACAACTTCTAACTTTAAAAGGATCATTCTCTCTCAAATTTCTTTCACTCGCTTTTCCTCCACTCTCACCACACTCTTCAAGCCTTTTTCTCCCTTCCACTCTTATTGTCATGCTCTGGTTTTTTGTTTTCATCTCTAGTTCTCTTGTTATCTCTTTTAAGACTCCAATCAATTTATTCATATGTAAAATTCTACCTTCACAATTACGCCAAATTTATTCCCTAATTCTATCCGATTTCTTTTTTGGAATTTCAAAACCACTAAAACGTTGAAACTAAATCATATCGTAATTTTTGTAAAATATCCAATAATTATTATTATATTCCTAAAAGATTTTTTTGTTGGTTGAAAATGTTTTTGATGGCTCGTGTAATAAAGTTTCAAGTCTCGTTGTTATGAAAGGTTACTCCATAGGCCGGTAGTTGATCACTTATGCCAAATTTCTAGACTCATTTTTATTCGTACATTTCCGCCTGCAATGTTTCAGTCGATTGACCATCACTTGTCGCGATTGGGATGAATCCTTTGTGGTCAATCGCTTGCCACAGCCTCTCCTACCCCAATTTTTGAAAAAAATAAAAAAATAAAAAAAGTTTACGATTTGAATTTCTCTTTTTTTAATTGATATTAACCTCTTTTCAACTGATATATGTTAGGTGTAATATTTTACCGACCAAATAAGGAGGTTATAGTTTAATATTTTAAAGATTGAAACCTTTCGACTATTGAATTTTTTCGCTCCCCTTCAAAAAAAAATTGTAAATAAAAAAATATTAACCATGTAAAAATTGTATTATAGTTTATTTTGAAAATCAAATCTTTTTAGAAATAAATTTTAGGTTAGATATTTCAAGGATCCAGTTTTTTTTTGTGAATAGATATTGGTTAAAGATTAACATTTCAAAGTTCCAATTTTTTAGAAGCAAAAACCATTTTTTTAGAAATAATATTCCAAGATAATGTTTTAAAGTTTAAGATCGAATCTTTTAGAATTAAAAACCAATTCTTTTCTTTATAGTTTAATATTGAACCTTTTTAGAAATAAATATTACACAATTTTCAAGGATGAAAGGTTTTTGCTAAATATTTTTTTACCGTTTATTTTTTAAAAAATCAAATCTTTTTAGAAATAATCTTTGGAGGATCAAGTTTTTTTGGTGAATAGATAATGTTTTAAAGTTTAACAGTTTAAAGATTGAATTTTTCAGAAAAGTGTGATATTTCGAGACCAAAGGACCAAGTTTTTTTTGTGAATAGATATTGCTTTGTAGTTTATGTTTAACAATTTGAATCTTTTTAGAGATACATTTTATGTTTGAATGTTTTTAGTTGAGGTTAAGTTTTTTAAGGACGTATTGCTCTAGAGTTTATGGTTCCAAAAAGCCTATCTTTTTAGAAACAAATATTAAGTCTCTTGCCCATTGGTGCTGTTCAGCTGGTCCAGCTGACCCTCCTGCTGGTTTAATGCTCTCCAGCCGGCTGCTCAGCTGGCCTCCAGCTACCTGTTGGTTTTTCCTTTGGACCCTTGTCTTGAAGGATTAAAGCCATCTTTGGCTCTCTTTGTTTCTGCTTTGCTGTTCTCTTGTTGAGACTCTGGTTCCCTGCTGCTGCTTTCTGTTGGTGTCTGTTTCAGCTGGTAGTTTCTGCTTTGGGTTGCTCTCCTTTGGGGAGTTTCTGCTTCAGCTGGGCGCCCTGTGCCTTGTCTTCACCTCCTCTCTCTGCTGCTGCCCCTGGGTTTTCTTCTGGTTTCCAGCTAGTGATGCTGTGGTTCCCTGCTGCTGCTTTCTGTTGGTGTCTGTTTCAGCTGGTAGTTTCTGCTTTGGGCTGCTTTCCTTTGGGGAGTTTCTGCTTCAGCTGGGCGCCCCTGTGCCTTGTCTTCACCTCCTCTCTTTGCTGCTGCCCCTGGGTTTTCTTCTGGTTTCCAGCTAGTGATGCTGTGGCTTTGGGTTCATTTGCCCCTCCGATGGTTCAGCCGTCTTTGTGCAGCCTTTTGCCTCCCAGCTGGATCCTATTCTTAGCTTGGTTTTTGTTTATGCCTCTACTGGCTTTCTTATTGGTCTGTAGCCATTTTGGCCCCCTGTTTTTTGGTTTAGTTTTTTCTTTGTTTATTTGCTTCTTGTATTCTCATCCTTTCATTTATGGCATTCCTTTTTAACCAAAAAAAAAAAAAAAAGTGTTTTTCTGAATAGATTTTTCTTTATTGTTCAATGTTTCAAAAATCTAATCTTTTGAGAAATAAATGTTTGGTTAATTTTTCCAAGGACCAAAGTTTTTTTTTAAAGTTTTTATGTTTCTTTATAGTATAACGCTTCAAAAAAACAAAAATAGATGTTAGGAGGACCGAGAGAGATATTAGGGTATATAAATTTCAAACAACCTGCTGCTATCACACACAATACACAACCATATGATTATCTAATGCTCCAAATGTTGGCTCATGGACATGAATGAAGTGCATTCTGCACTACTTTTTTCTTTTCCCATTCAAATTATTGCTTTGAACAAAATTCCTTTTTTTTATCCATAGACAACACTCGTTCATATGCTCAATGGCAGATATTATTAACAGGCATGTAGAGACATAACCATAAGCAAGCCTGAAGCATTTCTTTCTTTAAATTTATTAAAGGGTCATGAAATTTATTCTTCAAGCCAACCTCTCTGGTGCTAAAAAAAAGTTTTAACTCCGCCTGTGCCATTCTTATTGCTTTAGTTATTGCACAGCCGGTCCCAAGCCCGGTTAAAGGAGGAGGGTTACTCACATAGTTGATAGCTTGTAGTTTTATGATAAATTTTGTCATTTTTTTTTTCTTCTCTGCTCACCATTCAATTACCATGGAAAAGAACTTTAGCCAGTAAGGTAACATTACCTGAGCAGCATATAACATATTCCATGGATAACAATATTTCATTCAAACATTCCTTCCATGGAAACACAATCACAAATTTTACTGTTAAGTTATATATAAATTTCATTTACAATATACATCCATGAAAGCCAAACTCCAAGCCTAAGGTTTTTTACTGGCATCTAAAACTTGGTGCCCACTTATGAAGTTCATGCAGAAGCTGTGTCGATAATTCAGTTAGAAGAACAATTGAACTGAAAATGTCCTGCATATTACTAGAATAAAAATACTAATATGGTTGTTCAATTTTAACTGGACATATGCTTTTTCATCACAACTATTTTCCAAGCCACATCCAAGCTGTTAATGTGGATACAGAAAAGGGAAAAACAACAATGAGCGGAAGTATTTACAAATGGTGTTCATAATATGTATGCATTTGTACCAGTTCAAGCAAAAAAACAAAAAAACAAAAAAAAAACGTGTTTGTACCAGTTTATGATGGAAAGCACAAAAATCTCGAATAATTTGAGAGGTTCATTTCCACATAAGATCTCCTATAACTTTACAGAGTCCTATCCATAAACCTGGGTGGACGAGATTTATCAACTACATCACAATAACTATGCCTAACCAACAGATCCTTCGAGCTTCAAGCTCATGAGCTGGTTCACTTCAGCACCAAATTCATCAGGTAGCTCATTGAAGACATCCCTGCAAAACCCGGATATCATGGCAGCCATGGCTTTTTCATAGTCAATCCCTCTCTGCTGGAAGTAGAATAGCTGATCTTCACCAATTTTGGAAGTGGTAGCTTCATGCTCAACGCGGGCTGTGTGGTTCTTCCCCTATGAAAAAATGATATTCATTGACAAAGCAACAAACAAGGGTCCAACAGAAGTCCCTCTTTATAAAGACAAAGCAAGGTGCATTAACCAAAAGAAATTGTATTAAATACTGTAAAAGCAATCTTGGCAACATCCGTCAGCACAATTAGTAATCTCAACCACAGTTTTCTATATTTTTCCCTCATCATTCATATTTGTTTCCCAAAAACAAAAAAGAATCTACACAAATCATAAGTTGGAGACACTTGGGCAAAAATACCTACAGGTAAATCGGCACATGATGAAGATAGTACATAGATAAGCAAGGAAGTGAATGAACAGATTATTCCAACATGTATGCCTGAACACAAGAAATATCGTTTATTTGTTTTCTATGCAAAATAAAGTTATCATTTCAACTTCCTTTAATGTTTTTATAATTATCAAATTACAAACATCTCTATATTGAGGTTTCTCGGACAGGTTAAACGTGCAGGCAACGTACTCAATACCTTGGTAGCTTGTTGACCCCACATGGTTTGACCAAGACATTCAATGGTCATAAGTTTATCATCAATTATCCCAACTCTATGCACTCAAAATTTTCCACATTTATACTGTTATCACAAAAGGATACCCATAATCGATATATTGTTCCATACTTGATGGTACCGGAAGAACTTGACCCCAAATTCGATTGGCAACAAAAGATACAATAATTATTCGAACACCGTCACAATTCACAACAAAATGAGTCTGTCCATACAGTTTGAAATCTCTTAATTGAAATTGTATATTGTTCATCACACAAAAATATTGACCACAGATATTAGCTAGGATGCAGCATAAGCACTTCCTATTTCCAAGGCCACAGATCATGCCATACCAGGAACAACTCGACAATCCATGCACTATGCAAAGCTGAAACTTGATAAGAAAATATGGGTCTAAGATATAACACATTATGGGAAGCCTTTGCACTCAATTTGTAAGCTAGCCACAATTAGTACATTGAACGACGACGATAGCAACAAAAATATCTAATTAAACCATTAAGCATGTGTTGACCAAAAAACTATAAAGCATGTGACAAGAAAACCTGAATGTCTGGATAAGTGTTGGCAGCTGCATTGTCACCAATGAGCATTGAATCACATTGTGAAGAGTTTCGAGCATTATCTGCATTTGACAGAATCTGAACAAGGCCCCTATAAACATTTTTTGAATTTCCAGCCGAAATGCCCTTTGAAATAATCCTACTTCTAGTATTCTTCCCCTTGTGTATCATCTTCGTCCCAGTGTCTGCCTGCTGATAATTATTAGTAAGCGCAACAGAATAGAACTCACCCACAGAATCATCACCCTCCAAAACAACACTCGGATACTTCCAAGTTATAGCAGAACCCGTCTCTACTTGTGTCCACGATATCCTCGACCGAGCACCAGCACAAAGCCCCCTCTTGGTAACAAAATTATAAATCCCTCCCTTCCCTTCCTCATCTCCAGCATACCAATTCTGCACTGTAGAATACTTAATTTCCGCACCCTCGTGACAATACAATTCAACCACGGCAGCATGGAGCTGATTTGTATCATACGAAGGTGCAGTACACCCCTCCAAATATTCTACAAAACTTCTCTCATCAGCAACAATCAAAGTCCTTTCGAATTGCCCCGTTTCCATAGCATTTATCCGAAAATAGGTAGAAATTTGCATTGGACACTTAGTATCTTTAGGTATATACACAAATGAACCATCACTAAACACAGCTGAATTCAGTGCCGCATAATAATTATCATTCGGAGGCACAACTCTCCCCAAATACTTCCTGATTAAATCTGGGTATTCCCTAATTGCCTCGGATATGGAACAAAATATCACTCCAGCTTTCTCTAAAATTTTTCTATGAGTTGTAGCAATTGAAACACTATCAAGAACAGCATCAACAGCAACATTAGCCAAGCGATTTTGCTCATTTAAAGGAACACCCAGTTTATCAAAGTACCTAACAAGCTCAGGATCAGCCTCATCAAGACTATTCAAGGTCGGTTTCTTTTTTGGCTCAGAATAATAACACATATTTTGGAAATCTATCGGAGGGTACTCAATATCAGCCCATTTAGGCTCAACTTTTCTGCAGAATTTCTCATAAGATTGCAATCTAAATTCAAGCATCCAATCGGGTTCATTTTTTCTTGCAGAAATCAACCTAATTGTCTCCTCATTTAGACCTTTCGGAATCGTAAAAGAATCAATTTGTTCTGAAAAACCCCATTTATAGTCCCTTTTGAGGAACTTATGAAGTGGGTCTTCCTCAAGTGGGGTTGAAATTGAAGGCTTACCTGTTTGGAGGTCCGAGTCGATCATCTTAGGTTCGTAACCAATTGCACTGGTCTTGAAAACTCTCGAATTAGGTTTTTTGGGGTTTGAGGATTTGAAAAATTCGAGCTTTGGGTAAAACCCTTTTGTGATTTTGGGATTTTCGGTGACGGGTTGTGGATAGAATTGAGAAATTCCGTTGGCCAGAAGAGAAGCCATGGCTGTGGTTCAGAGACGGAGAAGCTCAAATTTTATTTATTTATTTATTTTTTATAGTTTCTGGGTTTCCTGTAGAAGAGTCGAATACTGGGGAAAGATGATGACTGAATAGGGTAGGTAGATAAAGACGAGAGGAGGGAAATAGGAGAACAGGTCTATGCTTATCCGGGAATAAGTAGGGAGTTTGCCTTGTGTTTTCGGAAGGTTGGAGTTGCCTTGTTGTGGGGAGCGGATCCTCTGTTGTTCCAAAAGAACAGCACATTGTGCTGTTCACGGTAAAGTTTTGTGAGGTAAGACACCAGCAATTGTAATCCTTTTTTCCACCGGTCAAAATTGAAAGTTTTTCAAATAAAAACATTAAATTAGAAAAACGTACGATTAAAATTTATATTCCATTATGGTATTGAAAGTTTATTTTTAGAATTAATTAGAGTACTGAAAAAATATTTTTTTGGTGCAATATTTTAGATTCTCTAATGAAAAAATGTGACTCATTCAAAATTTTCTTATTTTATCACAAAATGCAAAATAATGACAAAATATGGTATCATACTTTAATTTTTTATCCAATAAAAATGTGATACATGTAAAAATTTTATATTTTTTTTTACAATTCACATTTGAATTCATTAACATAAAAAAAAATTATATTTGAATTTGTTAAAATAAAAACTTCAAATTTGAATCTGTAAAAATAAAAAATTTAATCTGATTTGAATAACTTTGAAATAAAGTTTTAGCAAATTACATCATAATTTTGACACAATCTCATCAAATAATTATTTTATTTTATACATATAATTCAGGTCAGATAATAATCTTAATAAAAATTAGATACATTCTATATCCAAAATTGTAAATTGAAATATAATCAATTAATGTTCGGAATCGAATTTGAAATATAATAAATTTACTTTCGGACCAGTTCAATTTTTTTATTTTTAATGGATTCAAATATGTGTTGTAAAAATAAAATATAAATATTGTACACAACCCACAATTTTATTGGATGAAAAGTTAAAATATGGTACAATATTTTGTCATATAATTTGAAAATTTTGAATGCATGACAATTTTTTCATTAGAAAAGCTAAAATATTGTACCAAAAAAATAATTTTTTGGTAATCTAATTAATTCCAAAATCAAATTTAATTGAATATAAACTTTAATCATACGATTTTCCAAAGCAAAGCTTTTACTTGAATAACTTATGATTTTGACCAATAGGCATGTTATTACGATTGCCATTTGCTGGTATTCATAAGATGTTGTGGTCTTGTGGAACTGCACAATGTGTTGTTCTTTTGAACAGCAAAGAATCCGCTCCCCTTGTTATGTAAGAGAGAGAATCAGGTTGAGACTAGAACATTCATCAGAAAAATCTATAATATGCAACTATGTATGCACAACAATTATGTACAAATGAGATGAAAGACAAGTCAAGTCAAGAGGTAAAAACAAAATCACCACAAATCCAAATCCGCACTCCCACAGTTGGTAAGTCAAAAATATCAACAAAAAAAAAGGAAAAAAAATGCACTTCCAAAGTTAACAGACTAAATTCATGGCACATACACACATGCTGTGATGTGGAATCAAAAACTTTGAATGCTCCCTCAATTAACAAAGGTTCAAAAGTCCCCATATTCTTCCCTCCACTTGAAAAAAGATGAAAAAGAAGGAAAAAAAAACTAAAAATGGAAAAAGATATAAAAAAAAAAACATCTTCGAGAGCTGTGAATCCCCATCGAACCATCTTTAGAGTATGCCAGCAAATCACTGCACGACATTACAAGATTTTATTACATCATACACCTAGCAAAATGCAAATTATTAAACAAAACAGTGCTGTCAAGAAGAATATTAGTATGAAACATACATCTCAAGTTGCAAATTTCCACTAACCATTAAAGGAAAAGCCACAGTGGAGTTATATACATGTGGGTCTTAGAAGGTAAATATTTAACAATCGAAAAGAACAAGCGAGAGATTGCATTCACTATTGATATTCTACATATTCACCACCCAGCCTCACTGAGTTAAGCACATTGTTGCACCTGGTGCCGGAAACCAGAACAGTCAACCCCCACCACCCCCACTTTTTCTTTTTCCTGTTACTTATCGGTTTTTCTTCTCTCTTCTTTGAGGGCAGCACAACAGCAAAGACAGAATTTGCACATTAGAGGAACACTTAATTCTTGAACAATTAGGAGGACAACACAAGTTAAACTTCTACTGACCTTTAAAATCACCTATCTATCTTAACGAAAAGAAAATAATGGTTGCACATTACAGCAAAAGCACATATTTACAACCTACCTGTGGCTGCTGCTGCTGGGTTGGTGGATAGTTTCCATATCCAGGATACCCACCATAGTACAGATTAGGATCTTGGGCAGTTGGAGCATATCCATAGGTTTCAAATCCAGGTGCATATCCATAATATCCACCATTCCACTGGTTTGGATCAACCTGAGGCTGAATAACACCAACAGATGGATCCGTGTGCTTGTCAGCTTCGTGGGCAATGAAAATGCAAATGTTACAGGAAAGAAGCAGGTTGAATGAAGTAATAATAACCTGCTTGTTTGATGGACTACGGCCCCATGAAAGTCGAATGTTTTGTCCACCCAACTGGGTTCCATTTAACATTCGCAATGCTTCCTCTGCGCAGCTCCTGTTATTGAATATGCATGGAACCGAGCAAAGCCCCATATATTAGACTTTAAGTATTTCCAAATAAGAAGAGCCTTGGGAAAGGGAACCATACCTGTCTGCAAATTGAACAAACCCACATCGCTTGCCTATTGGTATTTTCACATGAAGAATCTGCCCATATTGAGCGAAAACCTGCCTTAGATGTTCATCTGTGACATTAGAATCCAAACCACCAACAAATATCTGCAACGGAATTTGTCAAGGTCTGAGATAAAATTGAAGGACGAAAACACACATTTAAGCTTATTATAAAACATAATACTGACAGTAGTGTTAGTTGGATCATCCTCATTCTGACTTCCCTGACTACTCTGATATGAAGCTGCAAACAGAAAGCAGACGTGAAGAAAAAGGGAAAGAAAAAGCAAAGATGCTTCCAGTTGAAAAGGATGTAGGCGTAGACCCATACAGATTGCTGGAGATTATGATCCATGTTTAAGATAAACAGTTAATAAGCAGAAGACACAACCATCAAATGGACATAAACACCAGACACGCAAACAAAAGATGTATTTATGACAGACCAAGCAAAATCATGACAACATTGTCAAGATGACGATATTAAGAATCATCTCTAAAGTGAGTCCAAATTACAGAGATTGTCCTGCAATCAATACAACACGTGTTTAGCAGGATAAACTTTCATATGAGGCAACACTCACTGCAAATATTCTATTCCTAACAGGAAATTTTTTACAACAAACACTGAAACACATGCACATATACAGACAAGTACATACGCAATAGAGAGAGTTACCAATCCTTTTGTATGACCAAAGCAACAAACTCACGTAATAATTTTAGGTGGGATCAATAATTAAGAATGTGAGCATTTTCTTCTTTGCAATCAACAAATAAATAAGCTCACAGAACTATAAACCCAAATCAGCATATACTGATGATAGCAACAATAGCAACCCATCCAGTCAATGACTTCAATAGATCATTATAAAACAATAGATAGAAATAAGGGTTGTGGACCCAAAACCCAATCCAGATAAACTAACACCGTTGCACAGTAAGATTAAGAAAAAGAATCTAACAAAATGCCGAAGTTACACCATAAAAACACTAATAATTTACCATTGCTGCAACTCGGGCAGTTTCCAAAGTCTGTGTTACTATTTCTGACAAGCTGCTTCACCATGATTAAATTGGAATCAAAAAGGAAACAAATGAAAGCAGAAAAATCAGGATAGAACATATGCAGGCTCTATTACATGTCTCGACCAAAGTAACCTCAAAGAGAGAGATATTTTCCACCTGGGAAAATCTCATCATAATGATCAATACTTTATCATGCCTTGACATATAATATGCCCTTAAAAGTTAAAAGTGCTTTAGTCCAATCCCTTACACGGTGAGATTCTCTAAATTGTTCAGAAATAGCAAATAAATGCAGTATATTATAACAAATCACAGACTTCCCCAGCTTGAATGGTGTATCCCTTCACATTTCAATTTTTAATATTTTTCCAGCTTAACCTTGGAACAACATGATGACACTTCTTCAATGTGAATCCACAATTTTAATGAACAAATTTTGGCAACCATATGAGTGTTAACATTTACATGTCAGGAAAGTTGATGTTACCAAACTAACCATAATTGCTTGACTACATGGTAACATGCAAAACTGAAACCCTTTCAGTTATATGCAGTTTCAATCAAGTGGGTTTACATTGACACCACTCTACGGTGACCTTTTTCTCACTGTATCAAGTGTGACACTATAAAAGAGAAAAATTGGGAAAGCAACAGACTTGAAATTGTCAATTCTAACTGTAATGTAAATGACACAAATGAAGTTGTCCTCGGGAAGTAGGAAATGATTCTTGTGGTTAAAAGGTGGTAAACAAAAATATTATAGGGGTAACTGAACTAACACAAATATTATAGAAAATTGAAATTTGTAGCAGACTTAATGCCACAGGGAACTGAACTAATGGGAAAATTAACAACAATAAACAAAAAACTGACCTAAACGGGGCCATGCACTAAAGGGGTAACCATTTCAGCTGAAATCAGTTCTTGGCCCCTAAATGTTATAGCCTCCTGACACCCTGCTTTGAGACAACAGGAATTCTATGAGATTGTGCAAGTTTTAACTATTGAAAAACATGAATTCCAAGATTGCCAAAATACTGAAGGAAATGACTTTGTAAGCCGGTGCTTCTCTTCAAGAGACCATAACTCAGAAAAAGCACTCCTATCAACATTGTTCAGCAGACTGACGTCAAAGGATTCAAAAGATAAACAATCACCTTACCATTCAAACAACCATGTTCAAATTTATAGCAAACAAATAAACACCACCACAAATATAAGCATCCACTGAAATGCCTACCAAATTAAAAATTACCAGAAACATATTGATTGCTATCACTAAAGTTCCTAGGTACTGTAGAACATACCTTTGGGGTATTGCTGACTACCCACACTCTTCTTGTTTGCAGCTGGCCCGATTCGCATGGGCCTGGTCGAACAAAACCTTCCATTCATTTCAGTCATGGCACGCAACTGTTCGCTTTCATCTCCAAACCTGACAAACCCGTAACCCTTCGTGCGTCCAGTGTCTCTATCTGTTACAACCTTTGCCCCCTTAAGTGAAGGATAATGAGGCCTAAATGTCTCTAGAAGCAAGTAATCAGTAACATCAGCTGCCAAGTCTCCAACAAATATTGTGAAGTCAGGGGAATCATCTGGACGCTTTTCACCCGCACCAAAAGATGCCCAGTTTAGTCTGAAATTCTGCTCGGTACTTGGCATAGTAGTACCATTATACATCTGTAAATTCTTTTCTGCAGCAGCATGACTTACAAACTCAATAAAGCCATAACCCTCTGCTTGACCAGTTTGCTTGTTACGGATAACTTTTGCAGTGACCACCTGTAAAAAGGGATTGTTTTATTCTTATAAAAACGAAGCCGCAATAATGTATCAACCACCCAACCCCACCACACCCCACATTCAAAAAAGAAATGAAAAGGATAAAAGAAAAAATAACCAGGTATTCCTTTAATGTACAAATACATGTCCGTTAGCCTGTGTCCATGGTGGTACACACTCTCAGCGCAGGCAACATACAATTTTTATACTGAAATTTTTTTCAATCAGATTCTACTCTACATATAACTTCTCATTCTCAATTTTGTCCCAAAGATAGAACACAACCATATCCGAGCACCCTAGGTTAAAATAGTTTGGAAATCCTTACTAATTTTTAGGAGAAACCCTAATAAATTTTAAATGGCAAGAATACCCATTCACTCATGGGTCTGTTTCTCTTGTGGAATTAAAGTCATACAGAATCAATAAAGCTTTGAAAGTGTATATCAACTTTAGTGCTGAGAAGATGGCATCATAAAAAATTGAGGGATACTGCTGTGGAATCATTAAATATCACAAGTACTCTATCAAGGATTAGTACTAGGCAATAGCTCAATTATGTGCAGATCAAGAAAGTGGAAAAAAAAATCCACACCTGCATTCAAAATGATCACCAAGAACACCGTTATATCCAAAGCATTATTTATTGTTTTAACTTCTTGTTTTTCCTTCTCCTGAAAGTTTCTTTTAACTTTGTAGTCTTCTACAATGGTGCAACTCACATTTTACAGTCCTCTACAGACTTGCTCTGTTTTCAAAATCCTATTGATATCCACCTCATACAGACTGCAGTACTGTGTCACTAAAACAAGTCCTTCAAAAAGTTACCATCATATGAGTTGAGCATGTCTAAATTCCCTTAGGTACATAATCTTGAAAACAAGCATGTGTAGGCATTATATAACCATAATGATTAGACAAATGTACAATTGGTGCAACAACTGTCCCCGACCAAACAGACACTAAATTCAAACTTCAAGTTCCGATTCCAACCCTCTTCATATATGTTTCAAAAACAACAATTTTCTAAAAGACACCCTTTACGAGATGATCCTTAATTGATCATCTATTTCTTTCCCTTTCAAACAAGCCAGGGATTCCCTCATTAATTGAGGGGCACACCTAAGTAATCAAGGTATATCACATTCGCGTCATACATATGTAAATATATAATCACAGGCTCACAGACAGACATACATACACATGGATATGGTCACATGATGTAGAAGAACACAACAGTCTAAAACACCCCACAAGAAGACAGTTCCGGCTCAAATTTTTATCTCCACTCCAGTCAATTGCAGCATAAATATCTGTCTGCATTCATTGATCCCTATTGTTTTCCCTTTATCACAAGCCTAGGAGTTGAAAGAGTGAAAAACCAAATTTTAAATCTAGCACAACAGCACACTTTAAAAAAAAAAAAAAAAGCAACCCTACATGTACACTTCCAAAAATTTTCATATATACAAACACAATAACAATAATAGAGCGCACAAACCTGCCTGTATTACAGCAAAACAACAAAACACAATTATTCCAAGAATAGCATAAACAACAAATTTTTCTACTCAAAAACTAAAATTTTCTCCTTCTACAAATTTCAATTTCAATGCTTTTTTTCCCCTTATATTTCCAGAAATCGTATCGTGCAAAAACCCAACTTTCCAATCTAAAACAGAAAACACAATCCATGCCGATGTATTAAACAGATAAAGAAATACGAATAAACACACATGTAGAGAGAGAGAGAGAGATTTACACCTCTCCAGTAGTAGCGAAACAGTTATAGAGATACGTCTCATCCATCCAGACCTGTAGATCCCCGATCCACAGACTCCGGATCTCATCCGCACTCGTCGGCTGAGCCGCCGTGTACTGCGGTTGTTGCTGCAAAGGCGCGGCCGGCGGCGGTTGTTGCTGGTAATAATATGCCGCTGCCGCCGCCGCTTGTTGTGGCTGAGACTGAAATTGCTGTGGCTGTTGTTGATTCATCATCCATTGTTGTTGCTGTTGTGGCTGATATTGGTATTGGTACTGGTTTGGCTGAGAAGCCACCATGGTTGGAGGTGGTGGAACCCCGTTTGTTGTTCCTGGCTGCATCATTGTCGAAACCCTGGCTTCGATAGCTTACAGGTGTTTGCGAGTGCGTGTAGAGAGAGGGGAGCGAGAAGAGAGAGTTGAAAACTGTAACCCTAGGGGGTAGGGAGAGATGTGGATGGTTGGAGAGAACAGAGAGTGGGATAATCTTGAGGTTTTGGAGAGTCTGGCTTTTAGTTTTCTTCCAGGAATACCCTTTGATATTTATAATATCTCCTTTGCAGTAATTGACAATTGAAAGGTTGTGATAGTAATTTTAGTTTATCCATTTTCTCTTTCCTTTTTTTCCTATTGTAAAATAAATATGGAATTAGAGCGATAATCGAACTAAATTTTGGGAGCTCAAGTCGAGTTCGTTTTTATAAATAAGGTTACGAAATTATTCAAGTTCGCCCAAAACAAGCCGGATCAAGTCAAATTCAAGTAATTCGATTATTTTATATATAAACGTGTTAAGTTTTACGAGTTCGAACCAAGTCCTTTAAATCCGTTTTTCTAAAATAGTCTAAAAAAATGTTCAAGGTCGGATCGTTTAAAGTACATGTCAACCTCAAGTCGTTGAATCCGAGCTGAGTCCATGTTACTTGACTTGATTATTAGCCCTAGATGAAATAAAAAAAAAACTGTCAATAGAACGAACTGTATTGTATCCAATAAACAAACTCAAACTAAAAAGAGAAGAGATTCAAATTGAAATGAAGATAAACTCATATTTAAAAGATAATAGAATATGATTATTAGATTTTTTTAAGAGTATAAAATCTAATTATTCAATATTTGAATAAATATTTAAATCTCTGTTAATTTTTAACTTGTTTTTACTAAAATTTAATTTGAGTAAGGGTTTAGGTAAGAATAAGAGATGTTCTAAGTTTTATAGGTTACTTTTTTTTTTTTTAATTTTGTACAATTTATTTATACTCATGTATAATCGACCTTGTATTGGGCTAATTTTTTTTGGTACATCAGAAAAGAAAACAATAACAAAATATAGAACAAAAAATTAGTCAACTGTGAGGGAGGAACATCCAACTCCACAAACTTTTCCATTTGGTGGACACCAAGATTGTCCAAGGCATCTGCACATCGATTACCCTCTCTATGAGTGTGAACAATAAGGATCTTTCTTGTTTCCATAAGCCTCCTACATTGAATAATCAGATTTGTTCGGGTGGGTGGCTTCTGGAATCATAGAAAGGAGCTTCGCAGCATCGAGAGAATCTGTTTCCACAATGATCTGAGTGATGTTCCTCCTGTGAACCAGATCCAGACCCCTCTGTATAGCCTTAAGTTCTGCCTAAAGACTCGAGGAGTCTACCAGTCTCCTATAGAAGCCTGCAACCCATTTGCCTTGATCATTCCTTATGATTTCTCTTATTCTTGCTGGGCATGGGTTGCCTTTTGAGCATCCATCCGTATTAGGCTTGTTCCAACCTGTGTGGGGAAAACACCAAGCAATAAGGGAAGGAGAAGTAATGGTAGCATTCAGGCTAGTATGCTGGAAAGCCTTAATAGAGTCCAAGGCTAGGAACCATGCTTCCCTAACAACCAATCTAGTTAAGGTGAAAGTTTTTGAAATACTTTCCCTGTTCCTATCTTTCCATATGCACCATGCAACACAAGCACACACAATTGGCCAACTCCAGTCTCTGGTTATCCTTATTTTAAAATTCAAAGTGATCCAATAATGAATCCCTCCAATACTAATAAGTTCTTCATCATTAAGTGCATTGAGAGAATTCCACACCTTTTTGGCTTTTGGACATTCAAAAATCACATGGAAGGATGATTCATCGGGGGGTGATGGCATCTTGCACATGAGGCATCACTAGTCATATTCCTTGTGACCCTAAGGCTATTTGTGAGAAGTCTGTCATGTTGTACAATCCATAAGAATTTGTTTAGTTTTTGAGGTAACTTTAATTTCCAAATCCAATCCCAGTGTAGTAAAAGTCCATTCTTGGGGTTGGATTTCGAAATTAGGTCATAAGCAGCTTTTGTGGAGAATTTTCTATTGTGTGAAAGCCCCCAACAAATAGTATCCTGAAAGTCGACAGATAAAGGACAGGGAGAATGAAACAAATCAAGCAGAGTGGAGTGAGGAAGGAGAGTACCTGCCTCTTGAAGATTCCAGTTACATCTATCGTCAATGAAATTAGCAACCTTCTTGTTGAGGTTTAAACAATCTAGTAGAAGTACCTACTGCACTAATAGACCCTCACCCCACCACCAGTCAGTTCAAAAATTTATATGAGTTCCATCTCCAATTAACCATTTTGACCCTAAGTCCACCAAATTTTTGGTCTTGCTAATAGCTCTCCATATAGAAGAACTATCATGCTTAAGTTTCCAGTTGGAGTTGTCTTGGTCAACATATTTATTCTTAATTACATCTACCCAAAGGGTTTTTTCTTTACTTTTCACTTTCTAACCCAGTTTAGAGAGGAGGACAACATTATTATCCCTGCTTCTCCTTAGACCCAGCCCTCCTTCCTTTTTAGGGGAGCATACCCTATTCCAATTCACAAGGTGGACATTCTTTTTATCAGTTGTGTCACCCCATAAGAAATTCCTATTAAGTCTGTCTATCTGGTCACATGTAGCTTGGGGGAGCCAGTTAGTTTGCATGACATGGTTGGAAATGGTAGACGTGACTGCCTTAACTAGTGTGGTCCTTCTTGCCAGAGAGAGGGACTTGGTTTTCCATCCACTTAGTCTATTCTGAATTTTTCAATGATGAAAATAAAGTGGTCCTTAGAAGGTCTCCTATGAAGGATGGGAGTCCCAAGGTACTTCCCTAGGTCATCAGTGAGGGTGATACCATATTCCCTAATCAGGAAAGAAGTTTGTCTTCTACTAATGTTAGAGGAGAAATAGATTTTAGATTTGTTTAAGTTGATTTTCAGGCCAAAAAGCAAACAGAACTCCTCAAGGACTTTTTTAATCACAATGCAGTCTTTTTCAATAGCTTTGGAAAATAGAATAATATCATCAGCAAAAAATAAATAAGTGATGTGAGGTCCTTTCCTAGAGGCTTTTAAGCCTCTCCATTTACCTTCTTGGACTTTTTCGAGAATAAGTTGTCGTAGTCTTTCCATACACAAGACAAAGAGATAAGGGGACAGCGGATCTCCTTGTCTCAATCCTTTCTTGGCTTTTATTGGGTCCAAGGGGGATCCATTCCAGAGAATGGAAAGGGAAAACCCTGTGACACAGCTCATGATAATATCAATTCATGCCTTAGGAAAGTTAAAATCAAACAAGGTACTATAAAGAAAACTCCAGTTAACTCTATCATATGTTTTTTTCAAGTCAATTTTAATAACCATCCCCCCCAATCTACCTTTTTAAAGAATGGATAATCTCTTGAGTTATAATAAATGATGGGACATTTTCAAATACTCCAAGATGAAGACACGTGTCCTCGGCATCAGTAAAATCTTATTACTGTAATCACGACACGTACCCGTCGGATCACATGTCCTTCTTCCCCCGAGGTACTGTTCATAGGGATCAATGACACCCAGTACGTTTACGTACCGACACGTATCCCTCGGTCGGGAGTATGGGTACATCGGTCCCTACATGTACCGAGATGTACCCGTCCAGGATGACGTCCTCTGCTCCTGCACAGACTATTGATGTACAGGTCGCTAGTCTAGACTAGACTAGGTTAGCAATCATGACCTCGTCTTATACAATTGGTGTCAGAAGGCACAGGTAGGCAGAAGATATAGCCAATGGGGAATGGGCGTGTGGCATACTGTGTCACATCAGAGACAAAAAGACCTGATGCCCTTCCTGACACACGACTTGGGAAAGCAAATATTTAATTAGACCATTTCGTTGATGAAACAACATTTAATGCGGTAAAGCTCGGAAGAGAATGGTAATAAATGTCCCTAAGACTGGACATTTATTACACCCTTGCCGAGAGGAGCTCATTAAATATTCGGCAGGCCGATGACGCAGCATTGGTTGCTCGGGGTCTCAAGCAGTTAAGAGAAGACATTTCTCATAGGAATCAGTGTGCACGTTGCCCATATCTAATGATCACCTACTGACCACACTGACAGCAATCATGAGTTTTTTAGGTATAAATACTCCTCGCAAAAGGCAAGACGGTATGCAACAGAAAACATTTTCTCAAATCTATACTTAGTGCTTTTTTCTTCCCCTTTCTCAAAATTGACTTGATTGTCGGAGGGGATACGCCGAAAAATACTCCGGCGCCCTTCTAACTTGTCTTTCTCTGTTCCAGGAACATCCATCAGCCTCACTGGACCGCTCCTTTGATCCACGAAAGTCACCCATTATCCTTCCAGTCCTCCAACGGATCTCAGCCTGCTCCAAATAGCTAGGGTGACCGTTTGATTGACTGACTCAAGTTCACCACAGGAGAGATCTGTTCTCGTGTTATATTGTGCAAGATCCTGCACGCACAATCTGGCGCCGTCTGTGGGAAACGACTAGTTTTTCTAGTTTCTTCTCTATAAAGAACCAGTGACCATGGTGAATACTCGACAAAGAGGGAAAGGTCCCAGCAAAGAAGTCTCGATTTGCAAGCTCCTCGTCATAATAAGGGAAGGGTCATGCTGATGACAATAGAAACGTCTCTACTCAGTCAAGGGAGCTTACTCCTCAAACCAGTATGGGCATCAGGTCAGGAGGATCCGCCCCCTTGGCTCATCAATTGGCGGAGGTGATCGAAGAAAGTTTGGGGATCGATTACGACA